TAAGACTTGATTCATAATCTCCTTTCATATAAGTTACTTTTCCTAAAGCAAAATAACACGATGAAAGACTTTTATTTTCATCCATTAATTGTTTTAGATAGAGACGAAAATATATTTCAGAATCATTAAATTTACCCATGTCACAAAGCACACGTCCAAGTTCATATAAACTTGTTTCTCCATAACCAAGTTCATCTTGCATATATTGAAAAAGTGATTGTAATTGATGATCATTATTAGAACATAATACTAACTGAATATTCCAAATACCATTATTATCATCATGTTTTATTTCATTAATTTTAAAGATTGATCCAATCATAAAAAGTATTTCTTCTTCATTTGGAAAATAACTATGTTGAGTAATATTTGCAAAAGGTTTAATATTATCTAATCGAGAATCGGCATCAATCTCGAAGAGAACTTTTTGAGTATTATCAGAAGATTCAACGAAATTAAAATATAAACGAGCTTGTTCTTGATTGAGACTAGTCGAAAAAAATGAATTCATAGAAATGAAATTTCCAATTGATTTTTTAAATATTTCAATTTCTCCAATTGACATTAATTGTGCTCGATAAACATGAACAGGTAATGAACATTTATTATTTTCTAATTCTTTCTCAAGATCACGAATAAAAAATCGAAATAAATATAATAAATCAATATCATTTACTCGAAGTGCTTTGTTTAATAAACGATAAATAAACGATTGTCTTGTATACCACCATATTGATTGTGTAGATGAATAATTTTTATTAAATTCTTCAATAATTTTTAATTCAGTTGGATTATTTTTATACTGCTGTTTACAAAGAGTAATAAGTGTTTGTTTTTCATTTAACAATGGTTCCATTCGGATGAGACAATCGATTAATAATTGATTATATACAAATTGTCCATTTAATTCACTTGATGATTGATCTGTTTCATTTAAATTTGTATTCACAATTTGAATTGATAATGGTTCATCAACTCGATGATGTTGTCGATGAGTTTGATCAGTTTGAATTCGATTGATCAATTCATTCAATTGATCAAATACGCCTTTAATCTATAAAAAAAAAGTTGTTTATCGATAAGAGCGAAAATATATTTACTTTAGAAAAGTTTTGTATCCATCGTTCAGTATTTTGTTTATCAGTATCATAAATATAGATCGAGATGATTTGTTGAATTGAAGCAATTTGAGGAATAAGTTGTTTTCCTAATTGTCCGTTTACGATAAGAATAATTCGATCATATCTGGAAAGAGATTGAATACATTGTAGACAAAGTTGATAATCTTCAAATGTTAATAAACGATTAATTGATGCACGAAGTCGTTGTTGACCTTGTAAATTTTCACGTAACTTATTCACAGTTTCATCGAGCCATATCAATGAATATGTTTCTAGATTAAGAATTTCTTTTTGTTCAACTTCACGTGTTTGAGATCCACCCATTACAATAATTGTTTCGATTGAAAAATGAATTTATTAGAACATCATTTTATAATAATGTTATTTCAATGTTGTTGTGCAAGAAAAAGAACTTAAACTAGCATCGTTCATTGCATCGTATTGTAAACAATATGACAGTATGATTTCATCACTCTCAGAGACAATTGTGCAATACGCAAGAAAAATTAAAGTAAATTGTTTTGGCATTGAATAAAGAAGAGAGGAAAGAAAAGTTTTGTTTATTCTTTCGTGACATACTTCTACTTGAGAAAAAAGAAATTTTAGACGATGCTAAAATTAGATTGTTCTCATGTTTGAAAAGTTAAACTCATATTAAAATAAATTATATTTTCTTTTCTAACAAATTCAATACAATTTTTATTCTTAAATGTTCTTTTATTCTCATAATTAGATCCATATTTACCGAAATATCCGATTATGCATCGATTGTCATGAGATTGAGTTAAAATTAGTCATGTTTACTATTGTCTTTTTATAAAGACAAATGTTGTGTTTAAAATTATATCATAAACAAATATAAAGATTTGTTTTATAAATTATGAAATAAAGTTGTAGAATTTATTTTATTTATTTAAATAATCGATTTAGTAAAAGGCCAGATAAAAAGTTTTGCTTTAAATGGAACAGATTCTTCCGGAGTGTTTTTTTTCCAAATACCAATAGGTTGAAATTGATTTTTTTCTAAGCAATTTGCTGATGCACTATTATAATAAGGTGATAACAAGACAAGAGCACATAATCCTTGACTGCTTTGTTTTTGAGAAAGTATAATTAAATGTGTTCCTACACCTTGACGATGATAATCTTTATCAACACCTATTTGTTTTATATAATGAACACCAATAGTTGAAACATGTTGTTTCCATTGTTGTTCTGTAATAACATTATTATCTAAAATAAGTTCACCCAATTGAGAACTTATATCTTCATATAAGTATTTTAGTGATGCGAATAATAAATAACCTGCTAATTTATTATTCTCAATATCAGCAATACAAACTAATAATGCTTCTGGAGTTGATAAAACTTCTTTTAACTTTTCTAATGACCACTGATGAATAATAAAACCTTGATTGAGTTCATTATTATTGGCTGTATCTTTATCATTTATGTTCTTAGTAAAATTTTCTAGTAATAAGCTTGATTGACATTGAATAACTAATTCACAAATTTTATCTATTTCTTTATGATGACCATTAATAATATAACCAATGAAACTTTTATGTAATTTCTCTTTTAATATTAAACCTTGTTCTAAATCACACTCAAAAAATGATGATACACAAATAGATGAATTATTCATTTTACGATTTAAATCTTGAAGAAAAAAACAGAAATATTTTTCTACCTATGTAAATTTACTTCAATAGGACAAAAATATTTACTTTGCTTTACATAAAACTTTTTCTGTTCTTATCTGATGTATATAGCATGTTTTTGTTAACTAATCGAAATCACGTAGATAATAAGTGACTATATATTTATCTATCAAGACGAAAAAAGTATAGATATTTAAATTAAGATCAATATAATAATATCTATATCCGTCAAGGTTTTCAAGTATAACATTATCTCAAATGATGATCACAATTAATGACATAGAATAATAAAAAGAGGAATGGTTTAACCATTTTATTTTGATTTTTATCCTCCTGTCGACATTTTCTAATCGATATTTTTTCCGTTCTTCCTGTTCTATCATATCGAAGGTTTTAGTAAAAAAAAAGATGTCGCCTTTCCACGCATTCTTTAGAAGCATTGCTTATTACAACTCTTCAAAAGATGAACGATTAGCTTCGATCAAGCACATGTTTCAGTGATGAAAGCATACAGATTGATAACAATATTAATCTTCATCATTTTATTGACACAGTCGTTTTTATGATGTTAATCTATCTATGTAGGCGATATTATTATGTGTTTCAATAAATGATAATACTTCTTTTTTTTAACTTTTCAATCCATCGTTTTCATTAATGACTTTTATTTAATCAATATTGCCATATTATGTATTTTACATAATAAAATGGATACTAGTAATAATTACTTCTACGTTTCAGTTATCATAAGTGGTTGTTGAATACTTTATGAATTATAAACCATGTTTACAAACAAAAAAAAGTATCAGATAAAATAGATTACACTAATATATTCTAATTGTTCATTTTACTGTCGAAACTTATAGAAACAAACAGTAACAACAAATAAAATAATAATTAATGAAAAAAGAACACAGAAAAGTCTGAGTTTTTATAGTTTAGATAGATTTCATTTTGATAGTTACTGTTGTATGTTATTATGTAATTACACATGTAATCTTGCATAATTATTATTTGAAATAAAAATAAAAAGTTTGGTCCCTATGAGGATCGAACTCATGACCTCCGCGTTATTAGCACGG